ACCCCAGGGAAGGACATCCAGCAGACAGTAATCTCGTTCGTGGGAAATTAACGTCTTTTACCCCTTACCCTTTAAGAGACGGGACCTCCGGCTTTACGTCCTATCCGAGAAGACGAAACAATGTGAGTGAAGTGTCTTGCTTAAGGACACAACGCTAAGCCCCAGCCAGGACTTGAACCCGGGCCGTTTGACCCAGAGTCCAGCGCACTGACAACTGGACTACTCACGCTTCACTTTACTACTCACTATGCACCCACACGCGACATTTAGCTTTTAAGTTTAATACAGAAGTCACTATTCTCAGTAAATCATGAGGTGTTAAGGTACGAAATATTTACCTCTCAAGGTAACCAGGAAGAAAGTGCATTTTCATTCGTTTTTGTATATCTTCATCCTTTGTTCAATACGATTTTACACACTTCGGGTTTGAACTTTTTGTGGAGCTTACACGACGTATTTCAAATTTAACCGCTGTACTATAAACTTGTGTGTTCGACCCTTGTCGAACGCCTTCGATATCCTTCGATATCAACGATCTCCTTCCCGAATGAAGGATTATCATAACTTCTCAACTGTGACAAAATGAAGTATAATCATTCAACATCGAGATGACCGTGAGGCCAGTGAACCCTGGGTACCAGATCTATTGAGAGATGATTTTCCGGGTGATTTCGATCGATTTCTTCGGTGCTGTCGTAGGTGTCCTATTCGGTCACTTGTGTTTCGCTTTCCTCGCTTTTTACGGGCTATAATTTTGATTCATGGCGTCCGCTGTTGTGGAAGGTAAGTAAACATTGTTTTAGTATAAGTTATAAATTATTCAGACATAAGATGCTTTTGAATATTCATGATACGCGATAATTTGCGAATGATACATATATTTTTCAAGCATTCCAATTGTCCAATTAACATTCAGCTTTCTCGACAAAATGTAAGTTTAGAGTGCCCTGGTAATGCTAGAGAAATACATGAAATTCTCAAGTGCTTAACTTGCAGGCTTTTGTATTCTTTGAACATATTTTCGAATTTTTGTTTGATCAGTAGTCCATATGTTTTCTACAAATATATACCATCTCCTTTTAAGCGCAGCCGATATTTCGGCGTCATTCGTACGCTAATAATTGCACACGTGGGAAAGCTGTCAATTTGAGTTCGCACAGTTTCACCTATAACTGATAGCAAGGGGTTTAAAGTTAATTAAATAAAGGCCATGAGCTAATATATTGTCTTCATCAATACAATTTCCATCATCCTCCACCCTGATGCATGAGTGATAGGGCTATGTTTGCCAATATTTTCAATAAAGGCTGAAAGTTTCAAAAGAAACTGTGGTGCTGCGTTGGTGGGGGTAACAAGGTAATTTGGTTATATCAACATTCAATAAAAACCTCAACATTTCGATGGTATATTACAAGGGATAACCACGAGAAACGTTCGTCGGAGACAATATCAGGTTTTGAAACACGAGTTCAATAACGGTTGAAACCTGTTGTAAAGTGCGTCCAACACTTCAAGTGGCTCTCACTGTTCTTGTTAACCCCAAAGGGCTTGTCCATCTTGTCATAACAAAATAAAAAGAACGTTTTTGAAGTGGAATAGACGATTTTAATAATGCTGATATTAAAGTGAACGTGAAATTTACAGTCTACTTGGAAATTGTAGTGAGCCGGGAGGCAGGTGCACTGAACAAAATATTGCAAATGTTGCTTGTTTTCCTCCTCGCTGCACCATGTCACCGTTACAGTTAGAAACATTAAAGAAAATGGGAATCAATAAAAGCATTCCGAGACAAAACTAAAAAAAAAAAATAGAATTATGGTTAATAAATACAACATACTTTATTTTCAATATTTAAGACCGATGATCAACTCACGGAATAGATCGCCCTCAAAACAAAAGTAGGGGAGAAACCTTTCCTCAGTATTTGATACAAAATGCCAATAATTGTTGCCGCAACCCTCTCTGCATTGTATATTATTAATAATTATATTATAATACTTAAAATGTATATAATGCGACTTTCAAACACGCTGAAATAAATAAAAAATTCAATACGAGTTCCATACAGTGTACTAGGCTTGCAAATGGAGATATGATCAAGTCTGACCTCGTGGCATAAAAATAAATAAACGACAGATTACAGTAAGTATCATCATTTAAATCGAGCACTTTCTGGCACGCAACTACAAATCGCTCTAAACGACTTTGATAACCAAGTAATATTTGGGCACCAAGGTCACCATGACGATGACTTTCCACCAAGGCCCTTCGCTCCGTCGAAGGGCTAACGCTCGAAACATCAGCTTTTGTAATCGTTACGGTGACCAATTTACCACTTCACTGAACTTTGTTGATATATCCAAATCACCAAGGCAATAGATTGACCAGCTGGTGGTAAGAAGAGGACGGTCTTTTCGTTGGCTATAAGTAGAGCTGCATTTCCGTGGAAGCCATCACACAGTGCTGATAACTGGTGCACTAGAGTTGTAGGAGCATGGTTATCACAAACTCGTATAGCCAAGGGCGAATGCACACTCACACATTGTTCTGCGACAGAAGAATGTGTCGACTTTCAGCTTCAGAGACAGTGGCTGAGACAGACAACTTTCAGCCTCAGAGACAGTGGCTGTCTCTGAGGCTGAAAGAAAACGCTGAGGTAGGCTGTGTCGCCAGCGGTCATAAAGGCGGTTTTCCACCCTGATTGATGCACAGAGTAACATACCCCACAGAGGAGACAGTTCACGCGTAGGTTGGAGATCGAGCCGCTCATGCACACTCCACGAGCAAAGATCAAAGCTATTACACTACAAGCCGAACTGCCGTTTCTGCCGTCGAGCGTTGACTGGCTAATTTCGACAGGAAATTTCCATGAAAATGTATCGCA